GTTAGGACTCTGAGGTTAAACACTGGAGAACAGGCTTCCAGCTGGTGTCCAGCTGTATAGTCTTCCCTTGTTCTCAGCTAAACAGAGGACGGTCGCTTGTCCTTTAAGTGGCGGATGGCCGGTGCACTCACTTCCAGGACACTTTACAAATGTCTAGTCTTTTGTTCACACTTGTGGGCATCGATTGTTCAGTTAGAATCCACATCTTGGTAGGGCCATCTCTTCTAGCTCCACTTCCCTATTAATTTTGTTAGCATATAGTTATGGGCTTGTTTCCCTTCACTTGGTTTCTGAAGTGATGTCTCCAGTTTTGTCAGAACCATAAGTGTGCATTGAATCGTGGATTAAATTATTATCAGGTTATTCCAATCCGTGCTCAGTCCTGAAAAGTCCAAGTTTGGTCATTTGCTAAGGTCTTCTGAGAAAACCACAGAAATTTCCATTCCATTTTAGATATCCACTTCATACCGCATTTATCAGAGCCAAGAGATTAATTTTACGGTACAAATCTGTTGCTTCATCAAAGAGATTGAAACGTCCTTTGGTTGAATTACACCGTTAAGCAAGAGTTGTACACGTTTGGGTTCCTTTGAAGCCCCTTGGGGAAAGAGACTTTATTTTTTCAAAGTGAACATTTCAAAGGGATTAATGTTAAGTAATGTCATGCATATTTCCCATTTGGAAATTAAGTTGTGGCTGAAATGCATGTACATGATGTTGGTGATTAAATCCACTGGATTCTAGAGCCAAGAGTGTAACGAAAGGAATGGCACATCCTCGACTCGTGTGCTGCCCACATTTGTCAGTCTAGCATTCATGTTTCAGTAGACCTTGGCTGAATACTTGATTTTTAAAAATTTATCTTTATTGTTGAAAGTATTACTGATGCTTCCTTTTTCCCCCTCATGACCCCCTCCACCCACTGCCCACCCAGGCCTTCACAGCATCATTGTCTGTGTCCGTGGGTTATGCACACATGCATATAAGTTCTTTGGTTAATCTCCTCCCCACACACTTCCCTCTGTGACTTGTCAGTCTGTTCCTTTTAAAAAGTCTGTTTTTCTTAAATTTAAAAGCAGCTGTGGCATTTGATAATATTGCTGGTCCTGAGAAGGACAGCGAGAGCCTCTGTTACTAGAAAGTTGTTGTGTCAAACTTTAAAGTATCCTAAACACACCACAATCAGCCAGGATGGCTCTGAACTGGAAATGTCCCACAGGCCTAGCTTCTTTGCTTTCCTTTCCTTGACAAGGTTAAGAATGCTTTCATTTTTTTCCCTAGAAGGTTGCAATTTCTGCTTTTGTGTGGGACAGGACGCCTGTGGCAGTCGGCATAGCTGGTGGTGGAATCCTGACAGGTCACCTTTTCCATGAGGTTCAAGGTTGGGGGCAGCTTCCTCTTTCACGTCAGGCGTGGTTTCCTCTGATGGGTCTGCCCAGTAGGGGATGAGAGTCCAGGGGACTTTAGTCCTATGGAAATGGTGACCTCTCCCTGGCCACTGGGTGGTCCTGAGTCCTGCCCAGCTCTGTGGCAGTTGCAGGCTGCTGCTGCTCTGACCGAAGCAGCAGGAGGGCCGAGGGGGGCTGACAGCCAGCCACCAGTAAGTGCAGCTCTTCAAGGCACATCGAGCCCCATAAGGATCCTAACTTGAAAAGGCCTCGTGGAAGGGGCTCGCGATCGCTTAGTGGTTTCAGGCAGAGCTCAGAGACAGTCAGCTGCTTGGACGGGGTTGTGAGTTTAGGAAAAATTAATGATCCTTGGTTGGTGGATCGCTGGGTACAGTCCTTCTGGTCCAACGACTGCAGAGGTCTTCATACCGGGTCGTAGCCAGCCAGCAGGAGGGCTGCCAAAGGAATACTCCCCAATTCCTGCTTCTAAAAGAATTTGCTGGAGAATCTATCTCCAATGTGGATCAGTAGGAACAGGAATTCCAGAGGCAGAAAAGCCAAACATATTGGCACCCATTTCAAAGGTTTTCGTAGAGTTTTCTTGGTGGCCTGATGGAATAGCAGGGGCTTCTTGGGTGTTGGTGAAAAGCCGTAGCGTGGAACACTTCCCCTTGGCCCACAGATAGGGCCCAGAGGTTTTCGTATTTGCCCATTGGGACAGAAAGCACTTGCTGTCCTTGTCTTGGTCTTTAGACTTAGCATGGACAAGACGAAGGGAAATGTGCCTGTTGTTCATGGATTCTGTTTGCCTCCAGAGCCAGCCTCAACGCTCCAAAGTTCAGTGCTCTCCAGACAGCCCCCCGTAGGGGCGGCCTCGGGGGGGTGTGTGTGTTCCCTCGCACCTGTGTTTGGGAGCTAGCGCAGCCCCACGCCTTCCTTGCTGTGGAACCGGCATCGGGGGCGGAGGGTGGGAGGGAGGCTTGGGAGACTTCGTTAATTAGTGAGTATCCCTAAATTACTTTGAGCTTCTGAGGAAGATGTTTCTGTGTAAACATGGGGCCAGGTTTTCCCAGCTGCTGTGTTTATATAGAGGCCACGGTGTCGTGCTTTGTTTGAGCTGGGGAGGTGGCTGTGGGGCCAGGCAGGCTCCCTCTGAGCTCATTGTCCTGGGCTTTGTGGCCTGGATTTATTTGGTCAGTGACTTGAAGTTTGACCTGCTTAAGAGCACCCGAGAGGATCACAGGCATGGCCATTCCATCGTTTCTCCTGGGTAGAGAGAAGCGCAGGCGGGCCAGCTGGGGCCCCGGGCTCCTGACGCCGGACAGCTGAGCCACAGTGGCCTTGTCGCCTCCGTCACTCGAGCTCCGGTCCTTCCTAGGTGTAAGTTTGTTCAACATAATATTTACCAAAATGTAAACTGGGTTAGTGTGGCTTCTACCTGTGGTGTTGGTAGCTCACTGTTAGGAACATGATTTCAGATCTCGCCAGGCTCCTTTTTGGGGTCTTTAACCTTTCATTGTGATAATCTAAAGATCTGCACGAAAGTGGAAGGAAAATTAATTTCTGCGTACCTCTCACTCAGCCTTGGTAATTGTCAGTGTGGTTCACATCTATGTCACCCATGCCTGTATTTTTTATGAACAATGAATCTTCTAAAATTTAGTTGGTTCAGTGCCGAGCAAGATTTTTATTTGGCTTGGCTTCCCCTCTGTCCCCCAACTTGCATTTGTGTGTGTAAGTTCAAAATTTACTTGACAGATTGAAATATGACCAACAGCAGAAACAGTGGTATGAATTGATTCTGAGGTTTTGGCCAAGATACGTTTTTGGTTTTTATTTTTATTTTTTATTATTACTATCTTTTAAATATATCTTTATTGATTTCGGAGAGAGGAAGGGAGAGGGAGAGAGACATCAGTGATGAGAGAGTCATTGATTGGCTGCCTGCCACACTCCCCTTGCTGTTATCGAACCCGAGATCTCCAGGATCCTGGGTTGGATGTTCAACCACTGGGCACGCCCAGCCGGGCCCAAGATATACTTTTAAAAGCAAAGTGGTCACATGGGCAGAGTATACTACAGCCTGGAAGAGCGGGGCGTCCCTCCTAGGGGACATCCTTGGGCTCAGAGGAGACAGCAGAGGGGCCTTGCCCTGTATTTCTCACGGGAACGAGAGTGGCTGAGGGCCGTGTCTACCTGCCATTTGTGCCGGACCGTGGAGCCTCCTGGCACGGTGACCAGCCTGCCTCGGGCCTGCTCAGGCCTCTTCCCAGGGCCCCGACAGACTGCGCAGTGGGGAGTCCACTCCGGGCCCCGGGGAGGAGGTGTGGCGAGGGTACCGGGCGTGGGAGGGACTGGAACACAGGGCTGGTGTCCCTAGGAGTGTGCACGAGGCCCCGGCAGGGTGGCCTGATGCCTAAGAGTGGAGGTTGGTAGAAAGATACTGGGGTGGGCTGGGGGTGGCTCCCCGACTGGCCACATTCTGGACCCACCCCTCCAGTTCTGCACGGGGGTGTACTTCTCAAGCTAAGGGTATTAGCTTTAAACGTATTTTGCTTAATAGTTTGTTTGCTTGATTTCAACCTTAAAAATAGTTGGACATATGGGGTACAGGGCTCCACTGTGAAGACTGTCAAGCAGGTAAAACATTGGACTGGTGTCATGGAAGGTCTCCTTGATTTGGGGGAAGTGCATGTGGGGGCACCCTGTGGGAATATATTTTCCTGGCCCTGTTTGCTTGTTCCGGGGGGCTGGGGGTGGGGCTCTTCCAAGTGGGTGAGCTTCCTGTGCTTTGCACCCGAGGTGGGCACTGGGCCCCTGTGTGGGCCTGGTGCTGTGCCGGGCGCCTTGGCGAAGGACCCCGGCCCGGAAGGCGGGGTGCATTTGGCCAGGCCCTGGGGGTGGCAGGCGGCACCGCTGGCGTGGGAGGCTGGCGGGCTGCCACGCGCTTGTAAAGCCTCCAGGTTCAGAAGCTGCTCCGGCAGGAGGATGCGCCGCTCGGCACAGTAGCCCGAGGGCGGGCAGGGCAGCTCCTTCCCGTGGCCCAGTTCGTGGCAGCCGTTCCAAAGCTTGAATGTGGCTTGAATGTAAGGCAGTTTCCTGAGGATGTGGGACTCTCCCGGAGAGGCTTCTGTAATGCCCTGGGAGCTGGTACCTACTTCTATTCCTGCATCTGTGTCACTTCTGCGCCGCCCCCTTCCCCAAGGTTGGGGCATGACTGTGCTGTCCCTCCCTGAGCTCCTGGAGCCCCGGGCCACCCTGAGGACAAGCCTGTGCCCTAGTCCCTGACCGACTCTTCCTGTGCGTTTTCTTTGTTTCTTTTTTTAAAATATGCTTGTATTGATTTCAGAGAGAGGAAGGGAGAGAGAGAGAGAAACATCCATGATGAGAGCGTCATGGATCAGCTGCCTCCCACACGCCCCCTACTGGGGGTCGAGCCCGCAGCCTGGGCATGTGCCCTGACCGGGAATGGAACCGTGACCTGCTGGTTCACGGGTCTTCCTGTGTGTTTTCCATGAAACCCTGCACCCCCTGAGATCCGGGCCTTATCTCCTGCCGCTTCTGCTCCTTGACAAGGTCTGAGGTGATGCTCAGGGCAAGAGAGGTGACGAGATGAAAAGGGACTTCCCCGTGTCCTTTACAGCAAGGTGAGGCCACGGAGCAGAGTGGGCGTTGGTGTGGGATTGAGGAGTGCGGTGGGCGGAGGGTGGGGTGTCCACGCTGACGCTCGGGCCCAGCGCAGGACTGGACGGTCCGGCCGCCCGTCAGGGTGCAGAGTTAAGGTGAGCGTCTCCGCGGGCCGCCGCCTTTCTGGAGCCACTGCGGGGACTGACTGCCGATTGGTGATCGCAATGTCTGCTAAGAAGCAGCGGCTGCTTCCCTGGGCTCAGGTCTGACCCAGAGGGAGTGATGCCACCAAACCCTTCTTCACCTGGCTGTTCTCCAGCCTCTCGGCAGCAGGGACATGACCTGAAGCCTGGCTCTGCTCATGCCTTTTTGTCTTGGGGAATTGGGTTAAGCCCCAGACCTCAGAATCCTAATGTGACAACAAATGAATGGCAACCTGTATTGCCTTTCTACTGAGATTCCGCGTGTGTGTGTGTTAAAAACTTAAACACTAGCATAGCAAATAAGAAACACCACTACTTCACACACCTAGTTAAAATTATAAGGAATAAGAAGTACAGATTGGCAGTTACAAAGTAGTAAAGGGGGTGTAAAGTACAGTATAGGGGATATAGTGAGTGATATCATGATAACTATGCACGTATCAGATGGGTACTAGACTTATCAGGGTGATCATTTCATAAGTTATATAAATGTCTAATCACTATGCTGTACACCTGAAACTAATATAATATTGTACGTCAACTGTAATTGAAAAATAAAAAATTATTAAAATAAGAAAATCACACACACACTACCCAGAAATTTGAATCTTAGGAGAAGCGATCTGGCAACTTAAAATCTAAGATGGCTCGGATCTAAGTCTGAGCTTAACCTAGGAATCTGATGCTATGCATTTTTTATTGGATACTTATGAATTAATTAAAATGCATAAGAATATCTGTGCTTCATTCTGCTCCTTTCCTGTAACCAGCCAAAAAATATAAAAAGCCATAACAAAGTTTAAATTAGGAACACAAAGTACGGTATTTATTAAGACATCATAAACTATGCTAGTTCAGTAATTCCATTAGCCAATCCTTACTAATATGCATTGCTATTCTTAAACTTCCTTTTATATTGCTTTTTTTTTTTTTAATAATCTGGACTGGGGTGGCGTTTGCGTGTCTGGGCACATGCAGTTGTTTCTCATCTGTCTGTTTTAACTGACTGTGGTTCCATGAATCTTACCCATGGCTGATAAATATTCTATGCTGGGAACTCTCCCTTAGCAGAGGAGACAGTTCTCTGCAGCTCCTGCTGCCCGATTTAGCAAAACTGGGGTCAGGTGGAGCCAAGCTAGTTCCTGCTGGCAGCGGGGAGCGAGCAGAGCACTGTCACAGGTGCTTGGGCCCCCAGAACGGTGACGCTTGTGTCCCCGCCTGTTTCAACNAGGGAGGGAGCAGAGCACTGTCACAGGTGCTTGGGCCCCCAGAACAGTGACACTTGTGTCCCCGCCTGTTTCAACAATGAGTTTCTATTTTTTTAAATGGTGTGAATGAAGAAAGGAATCCTGGAAAACGAGGGCTGGCAGTAACTTGCCGCCTGCCCAGGCCTGAGCCAGGCCCGTGTAACAAGGTCCATCTGCGTAGTGTACCTGCTTGTCTTGTCACCGAGACCACTGGGAGGGGGCTGCCCCTGAACCAGGAGGGGAGGAGCGGAGGTCAGACACATCTTCATGGGTAACATGGGAGGTTCAGCAGTGGGCCTGCAAGAATGGAATCCATGTTGAAGTTTTGTCTCTTAAGTGGACAGATATAATCTATTTCTCATTCCCAAGGGCTACTTGCCTCTTTCTTCAGACAGACTACAAAACAGTATTTTGGGGGGAGGGCTGAGAGGTTTTATCTGGTAGTATAAATTGATTTTAATCACAATTCTACCTGTCTGTCTGTCTATCTATCTATCTATCTATCTATCTATCTATCTGTCAAGTTTTGATGTTTATTGACAGGGAAAGAGGTATAATTTTCATTAGGATGTTAAAAATTTTGACAATACCAAAGACCCCAGGGTGCCTGTAATGGGGACACAGGGGAAGGTCTAGGCCTCCGTGCCAGGTTCTAGGCCACACAGGGGGACTCCTCCCAGCTGTGTGGTGTATGTGGCGTGTGTGTGTGTGTGTTTGTGTGTGCGTGCGCGTGTGCATGTCTGTCTGACCTCCCCTTTCCAGACCCATCCCTGCTTTCCAGGCTTTGACTGTGTGTCTGAATCTGTCCAGAGGGGACACTTTTTCCTAATTCTCAGAAAGGCACTGTAAGGGCTGGAGGCTGCCCTGGAGAAAGTCACTGGAAAAGGCTTTTTTCTAACTTGCATGGAAGTAATAAAATGTTTGCACCCCCACAGCATAGGAACAAATGATGTAAGACCACATGCGTGAAGTGAGAGATTATAATGAAATAACATTGCCTGCAGAGGACAGCTCCTGACCGCGGGGTTTTGGGGGGGTCTTGACTTCAGCAGCACCCCCTCCGTTCTAGGTTTCTGGTTCAGGTTGCTGCTGGGAAAATGAGGTTACTGGGAGCTTATTAGNATTCTAGGTTTCTGGTCCAGGTTGCTGCTGGTAAAATGAGGTTACTGGGAGCTTATTAGAATGTCATCTTAGGAGAGAACACACACCCAGAAGGAAGGCTTTAGGAGCGAGCCTATGAAAGGGGGTGATCTCTAGAGGAAGAGCCGTGTGCCTTTAGTTTGGTCACTGCCTTCCTCCTGGGCCCTCCAGGAGAGTCCTCCACTGTGTGGCTTCTCTCTTCCCCTCCTGAATATTCTTGTCTTTTGGGAGTGGATGATAAGATTTATACACTTTGAAAATCCAGGAGACACATCCTGAAGTAGCTGTGAGTGCAGCCATGTCACATCTGGCATTTGTCTGTCAGTACTCCTGGAGATAGATGGACAGACAGACAGACAGGTGTGCACACACACGCACACGGCAGCGAGGGAGGACAGGTGGGCTAAGACTGGGATGGCTGTTGGAGCTGGGCGATCGGGCTCTGCTTGTCCATTAGACTCTGAATTCGTAGGCTGGCTGCTCTCCAAGCGCAATAGATAAACTTGATAGCTTCCCGTCGGTGGTCAGTTAGAGTATGTTATGGGGAAAAGACTCCGCTCCCAGGGACAGCAGTTTCTGGGAATAAACATAATAAAAAAAGTGAGGCCTAAAAGAAGAAAGATATAAAACTTTACTGAAGCCCCAAATAAATGAAAACTATACCATATTTTGGGGATAGGAACATCAACAATGTAGACATATTCTCCAATTTATAAATGCAAGTATCTGAGTAAAATCCAATTAAATTCCAGTAAACAGGAATTTGATATAAAACTTAATAGGCTAATTTTAAAGTATATCGGGAACTCCCCCCTATTGCATTCCTATTGTAATCCCCCCATTTTGGTTAATGGCAGCCCGTATGAGTAGGGCAAATGCTCAGAACAAGGACCTGTGAGTCACCTGATCCCACTGACCTCCGAAGCCCCATCCAATCCACCAGCAAGTCCAGACCCCTCTCCTCCAAATATATCCGAATCCCACCAGTTTCCCTGCCACTGCCCAGCATTAATCCAACCACTACCCTCTCTGGCTTGGACTGGCGGTCACCATCTAGCAGGTGTCCCAGTGCCACTCCTGGAGCATCCCCCAAGTCCCTGCACAGTGGCCTGCTCTGCCCCGGCTCTTCCTCCAGCCTCACCTCCTACATTTCCTGAGCTCACTTCCCTTCACCACCCTGGCTGGGTCCTGTCTCAGCATCTCCACTCTTGCTGTGCCCTCTGCCTGCGATGCCCTTCCCCCTGACCTCTGCCTGGCCGCCACCTCCTCAATTCAGGCCAAACGCAGTGACTTCGGGAAGGCCTTCCCGAACACCCAGCCACCCTGGCAGGACCAGCCCATGGCCTCCACACCCCAGCTGAATCTATCCATCATCTGTTTTCTTGTCTTCATGGCACTTACACCGGAATTATCGTCTTTATTTGCATGCATTGACTGGCTGGTGAGACCGCAGGCTCCTTGGAGCAGGATGCTGTGGGTTATGTTGTGTCCCCAGAAAGACATGCTCAAGTCCTAACCCCCGGTAACTGTGACTTTATTTAGAAATGGGGTCTTTGCAGACCTAATTAAGATGTAAATTAGGGTCAGGTCATTCTGGAGCAGGGTGGGCCCTTCATCCACCCAGATACAGACTGGAGGAGCAGGAGTCATCGGGGGCCACCAGCGCTCTGTTCCACATCTTCGAGCTGGTTATGTGGTGTGTTCATTTTGTGAAGATTCGTGGAGCTGTCACTTAGGATTTGTTCATTTTTTTGTATATGTTATACTACAATAAAAAACCATTTCTTAAATCCGTCAGGATTTTTTCCCTGTATGACTTCTGAGTTTTGTGCTTTGCTTAGAAAGGCGTTTCGTACCGTAAAACTGAATGCTTCTCCTATATTTTCTTCTAATACTTTAAAAGTTGGATTTCTTTACACTTACCTCTTAAAATACCTCTGGAATTTATTCTAATGTATGATACAATGTAGGGCTTGTTTTCCCTTCCGTATGGGAATCTGACATTTGTTTAACTCTCTAGATAACACTGCTTCGGGCAGAAATGACCTTGCCTGGCGAGTTGCTCCTGTGGAGGGAAGAGCCATAAACTGGGCACCAGGCTCAGTGCTTCCCCACTGAGTTCCAGCTGGCACTGGGCCTGCCCCTGGTGAACCCTGGAATCTACACCTTTGGGGTTTTGTAAGGGATATGGGGCCCCTGTGGGCACGAGACTTTAAGCTGGGGGGGAGGGGGCAAGAAGCTAGTTGAATATAGTCATTCTCAAAAGGAAAAGTCCAAATGGCCAGGACAAGGGAGCCACCCTGCCGGCCCCGCCCCACCTAGTCAGTGTTGGACGGATGGGTGCCGGTTCTCTGCTCTTCTGCTCCGTGTTCCTTGCTGTCTCCTGTGATTAAGGGGGAGGCTCCGGGGAACAAACAGCGCACTCTCTTAGTCACCCCTCCCTCCTGGCCCCACAGCTGTGCCCTCACACCTGTCCCTCTCCCCTAGGCCGACCCCCTGCCCAGGGGACATGTGGGTTTCTCCGGCACAGGCTGCCAGGGCCAGCCCCCAGGCTTCGGGACACGCGGGATGTGCCTTGTCCCCGCCACGGTCGGCGCTGGGAGCCTGAGGGTCGGGCTGTGGCAGGACCAGAGCCCCCTTCTCTGCTTCCTTCTGTCCTCCTGAGTCCCTCAGACCCCCTGCCTGGTAGCTCTGCAGCCCGCGACCTTAGCCTGAGCTCCTAGCGCTTCCCGCCATTCACTCCCTCCATTCTCTGCCCCCTGATTTTGCTTAGCTCCTGACCCACGGGAATTAGCTCGCATCCGTGGTGACCATCCCCTTCTGCACAGTCCCCACTTTCTAAACTGCACTGTCCTTTGCACTCGCCAGGCGAAGTCCCCAGCCCGCCGGGGAAATGTCGCCTCCACTCCCTGCGCGCCCTCAGGATGCTGAGCATCGGCTTGGCCGTCGCAACCTCCTAAGGGGTGTACAGTGCTGCTTGGTAATTTTATTCCATTTTCCTGGTCATGTTTCCCTTCTCTCCAGGACACCTCTTTCACATCCTCTCAAGCCTGCAAGGCCTTGTCCCTCCCAGCTAATGGTTTTGCTTCCTATCTCACTGAGAAAGTGAAAGCAAATAAAGAGGACTTTCACCAGCCCGTCCCCGACTGTTTGCCCCGCACTGGCCTCCAAGGCTGGCACCGCCTTGCCCCTGTCACAGCTGATGACCTCCCGGTGATTCCACCTTTCGCTGGGTCCTGTCCCCTCTCACTTTGAAGACTTTGCTCCCACAGTTTGCCCTTTCCTTCCTAGCTAGGCCATTTCCACCGTTACATGAACAAACTGTTATATCTCAAGAAACCTTTCCTCAACCCCCACCTCCACCTCTTTTCCTCCTTCCCCCCTTCCCCCTGGGAAGGGGTCGTTCTCGGGCGCTATCTCCACTCTCCCCCCCTCCTTTCTCCCTGATGCAGGGCCAGCCAGACTGTGGTCCTTGCCACGCCCCTGAAGCTTGTCATCAACATCCCCAGAGACCCCCACCTTGCGGATCCCGCACAGGACCGACCCAGCAGCATCGCCCAGGTGATCCCACCTCCTTCCTCTAGCGATGCTCCTCCTCCTGGTCCTGTCCCTGCCTTACTGCCATTTCCCCAGGGCCTAGAGCAACACCTGGCACACAGTAGGCATCTAGAATCCTCAGGGAGTGATGGAATCGAAGTATGAAAGGGTGTGGCTCTCCCCTTCCCTCCCTGCATCTCATGTAGCATAAGAAGATATGTATGGGTCACACTACACGGCCTCTGTGTGCGTGTGTGTGTGCGTGCAGTGCACACGCATGGAAATGGGGCTCCTGTGGGAGAAAGGACGCACTGAGGGGAGGTTGTAGCAGAGCTGGGGGGCCTTCATGTGGAGTGATAACCTGAATAAGGAAGAAGAGAGGGGAGGTACCCGGGAACTGGTTTGGCTGGTCTGTTGGTGAAGAAACTGGAACAGAAGCTGGGAGGGGAACCTCCAGCACCAGCCCAGGCCTGGACCTAATTTGTTAGTCACACAAAGCAAAGTGAAGGTCTTGTTGCAGGAGGAAGTGCCACACCCGGCCTTGGTCCAGGAGGAGCCCTTTGGGGGAGGGGAGGGACTGGGGTCCAGGAGTGAGATCTGTGGTCAGGCCATGGACCATTGCCCAGAAGGATCTGTCTCCCCACACGTGTGTAAAGAGAGCACGTGCACATCTGTAGAGAGAGGGGTATTTTTGTGCTTTATTCGTATTCCCTGTTGGGTGGGAGGCCCCACGGCCATCCCAGCCCTCCCATGTTGCACCATCCTAAGGTATAAGGAACTGCTGATCAGGGCTTGGGTCCCTGTCCCTGGTCTGCCAGAAGCTTGTTCATCACTGTATCAGTGCTGAATTGAGGCCTGGATTCCCTCTTTTTTAAGGAAAAAAAACCCAAAAAACTCAACCACGACGGCTCTGCATCAAGCCCTCTTGTCCGAGGAGCCGGCCATATCCTGCGCCTAGTAACCTCAGCCTGCTGACCTCAGGCAGGGTGGGGTGTGAGGATGTTTTCCCAGCTGTGGCCACAGCAGAGGATGACTTTTCCTCTTATTTTCTTTGGCTGGGTTCCG